GGAGACAGACACAGACAGACAGACTCCGCACACCACAGGAACCATCTGAGAGACAGCATGAGAGAGAGAGAGGGACAAAGGGCTCCAGGCAGAAGCGGCCTGATGGGGCGGGCGCTCTGCCTTCCTTCGGGCATCGTGATCCGTACAGCCGATGCACTTGAACCCAAAACTCTGTAACAGTCACTGGCAGGAAGGCTAAACAGCTGAGAGTTTAAATAAGCATTTCTAAAAACAACTTTAGAAGCACTGTTTTTGGATCTTTTTATAGCCAAGATTCTGTTTCTATTTAAAGAAACTTTGATTGTGGAAGACTAGACTGTTGTAGTTGACTTTTTAAGGACTTTTGTTTCCCTCGTAATAAAACCCCTTTGCCCTCAAGTCAGCACTGCCCTCCAGCTGCCCCTCCAGTGTCCAGTGGGTTTGCTGTAAGTCCCATGGGAAGAGAATGAGCCCCTTCCCCCCTCGGGGTGCAGAGAGGCATGGCCTTTGGCCAGCGCTCACGCCCTGTGGACACACCAGCAGGGCTCCGTCTTCAGGAAGGTCTGTCTCTTCCCTGGATCAGTTTAAAGGATTACGGTAGCAGGATGTTAGCTATTAGCCAGTGACTGACGGGACCCCTTCAAGGATCTCTCTTATTTGGAGATGATTTTAATTATGACTTGACACGTTTTTGTGTCTCTAAGGGCCACAGTATACTTTTTCTCCACTCTCAGATTTATAGTGGATGCACTATACACAGAAGCCTTTCAGGAGAACTTTTATTTGACATTATTTTGGAAACAGTGCTGTCCACTTGTTTAAGAGGGAGCCCGGCGACATTGTCTGTAGAGTGGAGCAGAGTTCAGTTCCAGTGCACACACCCACTCAGAGCTGTAAGGCTTCACGTCCAAACGTCAGGGAATCAGCACTGGTCGGACTTGCTTTGTTTCTGACTGGCTCTGATGCAGCCGATCTGCCGTTGTCTGTAAATCCAGTAACCGCCATGGTCCAGCCTGGAGCCGAGTCCTGACTGCCCACCCCACCCCGTGGGCCTTCGGAGGCTGTAAATCTCCCCAGGAGCAGACTTTACTCTTTCCTCCTTGGAGCAGCTGTTGGTGGAGTTGAACCCCTGATCTTCGGGTTAGCAGCTCCGTGGGTCACGCACTATAACACCTCTAAAAAAGAAAAAGATAGAAACAAAATCAGGCTCTTTGCCATCGAGTGGAATCTGCACAGCTGGCCATCCAGTGGGTTTTCAGTGAATCACACAGGCGGATGCAGCCCACCTTCTCCCAGAGCAGTGCGGGGATTTGAACCCTGTGCCTCGTGTTGGCATTGCTACTCACCAGGTCACTAGAGTCTTGCCAGGGCTTACAGCATTCCTGCTTCTGTTCAGAGCACATTGAAAAACAATTAGACTTCTGTTTGGGTGTTAACGTACCGTGCCTGGGAGAGAAAGTGCATAACAGGGAACCCCACTCCAAGGAACCCCACACTAGTGAACCCCACAGCAGGGAACCCCTGCCAGGGAGCCCCACACCAGGGAGCCCCACACCAGGGAACCCCACACCAGGGAATCCCACACATAGGGCCCCGCAGCAGGAAACTCAGGTGGGTGCAAGAGTGGGTTGGGGGCTTGAGCTGATTCTCCCCCTTGCTCCCTGGATGGAGGGTGCATGGGTGTGCGGTGGCCCGTGCTGACTCTCTGTCCCTTGCTCCCAGGAACGGAGGCTGGACGCCCTGGTCCTCCTGGTCCCCCTGCAGCACCACCTGCGGCATCGGCTTCCAGGTGCGCCAGCGTTCCTGCAGCAACCCCACCCCGCGCCACGGTGGCCGGGTGTGCGTGGGCCAGAACCGCGAGGAGAGGTGGGTGCCTGCGTCCTGTCCATGCCTCCACCGCACGGCCCTCCTCAGGCTGAGCTCTGGGTCCAGCTTGGGTCCCCTGCACCATCCCCTCCTGTCAGTCCTCAGTGTCTGTGTCTCTGTCTGACATCCCTTCACCTTGACTAGAGCATCCAGTGTTGTCTGCGTCCTCTACATACAGGTGGGGGTCCCCAAAGCTCAGGTCCAGGACCTGGAGACCCAGAGACCGAGTCCAGCATGCTGGAAGTCTGCTCACACAGGGACGGAGCACAGGGCTATCCATTCCTTCTACTGTCGGTCCAGCTGCAATTGGTCCGTCAGGGCATTGCAGCTGGTGGCTTGGCAATCACACCTGACTTTGGTGACTGACAGTGGGATGCGTTACTCCTGCCTTGGATACCTGCACACCTGTCTCCTGGCACCTGGCCTGTATTTGGTAATTGCACGGCTGGCTGCTGGGTTTGGGTTACACCTGTATTTGATAACCACACTCCTGTCTCTTACCAGACGCCCCCAGAAGCTGCCACATAAGCTCACCCAGCATCTTGCCCACACGTCCGTGAGCTGGCAGTGTGCCGTGTCTGCCTTCCAGCTCAGTTGAGGTTTAAATTCTCCTGTAAAGACTTGCAGCCTCAGAAACGAGACGCAGGCCCACTGAGGGTCCGAAGGGGCCGCGCAGCGTTGTGGGGAGTGAGGAGTTTTGTGGGAACTCGAGCGGATGCGTAACCGAAGGATGTGGGCGGGGGGATCCACAGACGGTCCTCCCAAGAGATCCGGGAGGGCCTGTCCTGTGAAGATTTATGGTCTCGGGCACCCAACAGAGGTGCTGGGAGCAGGAATCCACATCATGGCAATGGGGCTGGTTTGGTTTGGGGTTGTTTTATTTTTGTAGCTTAGAGAGTGAACTTCAACCTCACTGTCACCTATATGGGAGCTCTGGTGGCCTAATAACAAGAAACTGTGCTGCAGTCCTAAAGGCACACAGTTCGAATCCACCAGCTACTCCACAGGAGAAGGATGGACAGTCTCCTCTCCTGTGATTAATCGCCTCTGAAAACCTGCTAGAGAGTCAGCTCTGGGCCGGCTGTCACTTACAGAATCGTTCTTGTGTGTTTGGAGCACACGGCAGCTCACAGCTGTTGAGACATAGCCCAGGGAGTGACAGGGAAAGAGGGCACCCTGGGTGGGAGGGGGTGGCACGCGGTCACGGGTGGACCAGGACCTGCAGGGAAGCAGGCGACTGTCAGATACAAAGCAGCCCACACGGTATACACGGCGAGGCCCGTGTTCATTATTGCACACACACACAGCACGAGTGCGCCCTTCTCTTTGTCTTTCTTCGTCTGCTGGGCCCCAGCTTGGCCGATGGACACCTCAGCCCTTGGGCTTCGAGAGGGTGAGCAGTGACTTTACGAAGCAAGCCTGTCGTGTTTGAAGCCCCAAGACAGTTCCCTGCTGTCATTTCCAATCCAGTGCCCGCTGATAAGCGGGTGGGCGAGTGTGACAGGGCTGTCACCTATCTCACTGCCATCCTTGGGAGGGTGAGGGCGGTGCGGAGTGCTGAAATGCTGTAATGTGCCCCCTGACGAGGGCCACGAGGACACAGTCACCTTCACGCATGCACCTAGCACCTGTCACCACACTCCCCGGGTGAGCACCCCGCGGGGAGCCGGCCTCTCCGACTGACTGTCCGTGTGTGTGCTCTGTCCTCACCGGCTGTCCCTGCCCGTGTGACCGTGCGGGTGCCACCCCCTCCAGACAAGGTCAGCATCATTTCACGCCCGGTGATGGACGTGCAGAGGGAGTGTCATCTAGAGCTGGGGACTAACCACCTGTTCACTTTAGGAAAACTAGAGGGCTCTTTGGAGGCAAGAATGAAGAGGCTTCAACTCACATACGTCAAGCATGCTGCTAGGAGGGCTCTCCTTGGAGGAGGACATGATGCTGGAAGGGTGGAGGGTCGGCGAAGGAGAGGGAGCCCCTCAACCAGGTGGATTGGCACAGTGACTGCTGTAACGGGCTCTTGTGTGTCAGGAAGTGTGAGGATGGTGCAGGACAGGACAGGGCTGGTCACAGGGTTACTATGAGCCATGCTAACTTGATGGCACCCAACAATGACAACAAGCACTCAGTAGGGATGAATGAGAAAGACTGTAAGAACATAAACAGGAGAGAGAGAGATTTGAGGAGCCGGTGCCTTCCTCCCAGAAGCTTTGGGGGTCTATCAAGAGGACGGGCGCCCTGTGGCCCCCAGTCGTCATGTGACAGGCCGCTGAGCTCCAGGTCGCCGTGCAGCCTCACAGGATACTTGCCCGACCCTGGGCCCTGCTCACAATCCCCACCAGCTCGTCCCGTGTGGCAGACACTCAGTCCATCCTGTTGGATGAAGGACAGGAAATTTGTTTTGCAAAATTTGCAACAAGACTGCTTCTTAGGAGTTAAAATGCAAGACTCTTTCATTTCGTGTACTTTGGGCATGATATCATGAGGGACCTGTCCCTGGAGAAGAACACCATGCTCAGAAAATTAGAGTCGTCTACACTGAGGAAGACTTTCAATAGAATGGACGAACATGCTGGCTGCGACAGGGGTGTAAGCATGGTGGCACAGGATAGGGCAAGGTGTCCCAGTGAGATGGACTCCCTCCATGGCACCTGATGGCACCGTCTCGGGGAGGAGGGCTTCTTCTCTCCGGTCAGTGCTGGGGAAGGTCCCTGATGCCATCATCTCGGGGAGGAGGGCTCTGTGTCTCCCTTCAGCTCAGGGCAAGGTCCCTGATGCCACTGTCTCAGGGAGGAGGGCTCCTTGTCTCCTGTCCGCGCTGGAGAAGGTCTCGTTCGGTGCAGTCCTCTTTGCAGTAACAGTCACTGTGGAGTCACTTTCCCATTCCACCCTTGCTCTGCTCCTGGGGCCTTCTCCTTCTCCCCAAAGTCCTCGTGGACAAGCAGGGACAGTCATCAGCATTTGCAATCAGGGGATGCCACCCCAAATACCGCTTCTGTTTCTGTGGCACCATGTGCCCCTGTTTCCCACTCCAGAAATGTGTTTCCTCAGCCTATGGGCCCTGCGATGACCCCACTGTGTGTTGTTGTGTCCTGTCGAGTCAGAACCAATGCCTGGCCGCCTCTCCATGGGGCTGTAAATACAGAGGACAGTGCCTGCCTTCCTCCCGCAGACGTGTGGTGGGTTTGGGTTGGCAGTGCAGCTCCTCCCCGTGAAGCCACCAGCACTCCAGCGACGTGCCAGTCCCTGCCCTCATTCCCGGCCTCCACCCCATGTTCCTGGCCTCTTCTCCCTCTCCACCCACATTCCCAGCCTCCACCCCGCCTTCCCGCCCTCGTCTCCCTCTCCACCCCGCGTTCCCGCCCTCGTCTCCCTCTCCACCCCGCGTTCCCGCCCTCGTCTCCCTCTCCACCCCGTGTTCCCAGCCTCCACCCCACATTCCCGGCCTCGTCTCCCTCTCGACCCTCTCCACCTCCCCACCTTAGTCCGTGGTCCCAGGCATCAGGTCCAGGTCCTTGCAACATCCTGAGTGCTTCGAGGACTGAGTGGCGAGATGACATTAAGAGGGACCACGCCTCTCAGCAGATAGGTGTCCCCACCTCTCCCTTCTGAAGGACGCTGTCCCAGGACAGGAGAAAAGCCTTCCACCTCCGTGGTCTGTAGACGCCAGGTCTGTGTTAGGAGAAAGACGGCTGAGTCCAAACTGTCTCCTCAGCCAGCAGAACTGTCCCACCAGATGGGCCTTGTTCAGGTTGCTCCTCACCGGCTGTCAGCCGGAGTGTGTCAGTCAGCCGGAGTCTGTCTGTCAGCCGGAGTCTGTCAGCTGGAGAGCGGTGAGCGCTGGGCTTCTCATTCCACGTCAGTCCTCACAGATTGACCAGAGACTCCATAATCATGTCAAGAAGAGAGCAAAGAATAGCTTACCGGAGTGTTGATGTAGATGGATGGAAGTCGAGCACCACTGAAAAATAGGAATTCTCAACAATAAATGGGAAGCCAGTCCTTTCTGCATAACTTATGCCTGTAAATGAAGGGTTTCCTAACAGCATTCAGGGAGCTTGAGATGTTATCACCTGGCAGTAACTGAAACATCACTAAAAATCATGCTTGAAGTTGACTTTAGCTTATACACCTGGGATGGTTTAGAGGTACTGACGACAAAGGTCGGACGGTTCAGTCCCACCAGCTGGACACTCACCTCCTGTGTCACCTGCACTCAGAGAACCCCCAGGAGGGTCAGCTCTGCTTTCCACTCCAGGGTGGATAACTACACACCGCCACTGGGGTGGTATTTGATTAAAGGAAGGGCAGTGGATTCTGTACCCTGACAAATACGCTGTCGTGTGCTTCCTGGCATTCTGGTCTGTACAGTCTGAAGATACGGCAGTCCTTTGTTGAGCAAAGCCATGGGCACCATTGTCCCAACAACTTGTGCCCACTTACTTCTTGCCTTGCTTCCACGTTTCGATAATTCTAACAGTATTTAAACCTTTTGATAAGGCTGTTGTTGATGTTGTTATTGTTGCTGTTGTTATGCGCTGTTGAGTCACCTGTGACCCATAGTGACCCTCTATGTACAGCAGCTCTGAAGCCTGCCCTGTCCTGAGCCAGTCTCCCTGATTCCAACACACCAACCCCCACTTCCCCAGTTACTGAGTCAATCCATCTCATCCTGGGTTCCCCTCTCCTGCACTGTCCATCCACCCTTCCGAGCGTGATGTCCACCTCAGAGGACATGCCCAAAGTATGTGAGATGAAGCTTCAAAATCTTAGCCTTCCAGGAGAGACTTGGTTTCACCTTCTCCAAAACAGACCGATTTGTTGTTGAGACTATCAAGTTGGAACCAGCTCACAGCTGAGGCTCCAGCAGGTTTTGAAAGGCAGTAAACTGCATGGGGGGAGACAGCCCACTTTTCTCCTAAGGAGCAGCTGGTGGCTCCAGACTGTTTGCCTTTGGGCCGGCAGCACAACTATCTGTCCCCTCGGCCACCAGGGCCCCCTTCTCATAAAGGCACCGCACTCTTTATAGCCTTAACTCCGGTGTGTGCACCACTTTTATGAGCTCTGGGGAAGAAGTGCACCCACGTGACTGGTTGGGGGCAGTTACTTGATTGCGGAGGTCTGGAGCCCCCCACCCCAACATTCCCAGGTCCCGCCTGTCACCCCTGCCGACTGTGCACCTGAGCCCACGTGGTCTGGTGGCGTCCATGTTTCCGAGACCAGAGTTGTGTGGGGAGGCCTGTGCGCTCGTTTCGGGCTTCTAAGCCTCTGTTTTGTTTATTTCTCCTTCACCTGGCTGCACAGGAAGCTCCATCCTGCATTGTGAGTTTAGATTCTCTTTGCGTCTTCCGTGCATCCCCGTGTCTCTGTGCACACGCATGGTCAGCGCCGCATCTGCCTCCTTTGTGGGTGCCCCCTCGGAACGCGCAACCCCCCACGGAGCATGCCCACGTGTTCAGCATCTGTGAAGCGGGAGAGCGGGAAGCTTGGCTCCCTCGTGGCGCACTAAGCCGTCTGCCTTTCTTCTCGTCCCCTGCCCGCAGATACTGCAACGAGCATTTGCTGTGCCCCCCTCACGTGTTCTGGACAGGCTGGGGTCCCTGGGAACGGTGCACGGCTCAGTGTGGGGGTGGCATTCAAGCCCGGAGGAGGACCTGCGAGAACGGGCCGGACTGTGCAGGCTGCAACGTGGTAAGTAGTTCCCTCCTCGGCACATCGCAGAGCTGGTGTCCACAGCCAACACGCGCAGCAGACACTGGGTGTGTGCACAATGTCGGTGCTCTGCGTGCACACCGTGTGCGCACTAGCTGCTCCACGCACACGCAGTGAGCTTTGCTCACGAGGATCCCTGCACACCAGGACTTTGAACACACCGGGTATTCTGAAACGGCCGGGTTCTCATAGACCCAGGGTGCTTGGCGAGCACTAAATGCTTTGCAAAGTGTGCTGAGAGCCTGCGCACCGTGGCTCCACCTGGAACAGGGCGCCACGTGGCTGTTCTGGGTGGGTGAGTGAGTGTCTGGAGGAAATACTGGGTGGCTTGAAAGAGCTCTTCATGGCTGTTACGGTGTCCCGGAACTCTCCTGTTCTGGGATCTGAGATACGAGAATTGCATCAGGTGCTGCACTGTTGTTGTTGTGATTGTTACCTGCCGTTGGGTCCATGACGGCTCCTAACCACCCTGTGAGAATCAGCTCCTCTCGGGCACCGTCCTCACCGCCGTGGGAACGCTGGAGCCCGTTGTGACAGTAACTGTGTCAATCCTACTTTTGAGGGTCGTCCTCGCTTCCTCTGACCCCCCCACCTTTCCCGGGATCCTTTTCCAAGGACTGGCCCCTCCTGACAGCTTGTCCAAAGGCTGAGGTGACATTTGTCCGTCCTCCCTCTGAGGAGCAGCCTGGGGGCCCTTCCTCCGAGACAGGCCGTCCGTGGGATGGTCAGTGCCCTTTTCCGACACCACAACCCCCTTTTGTTGTTGTGTACAGTCAGGTGAGAACTGACCCATAGCTGACCCTCTCCTGGCTTTTCAGAGACTTTAAATCACTCGAGAGGAGATTACCAGCCTTCTCCCACAGAGCAGCTGGTGGATTGGAACCCAGTACCTCTGAGTTGACAGTGCACCTTCTTGCCGTTAAGCCACCAGACTCCCTACTCCTGTTTGGCAAACTGTAAGGCAGCCCCCTTGTGAGGCCTGCACTCGGGACAGAGCCCAGAGCCTGGTGAGCCTCTCAGGACAGAGGAGTGTGTGGAGCCCACGTCAGGAGGTGCGCACTCCGAGGGAGAAAAGAGGATACCTGGCTTTGCTGGGCTTCTGCCTTCACAGTTCTTTTCCCTTTAGCGCTCCGACTGTCAGACGAAGCTCCCTCCTGCTGAGATTTCTCAAGGTACCTGTTTTCTGTGTGAGAGTGTCTGACTCCCAGCTTTCCCCCACGTGGCGCTGACTTCCACGCGAGCAGTGGGGAGACGTGTTGAGTCTGGGGCAGAAGCCAGTGTGAGAAGGGCCTCAGGGCTGCACCTCCCGCGTCCCTCCAGGCGGTCCTCCAGGGGCTGGGAGGCAGTGGTGGTTCTGTGCTCCTGGAAAGGCTTTCCCTTGTGATGTGAACAAAGGACTCCCACAGGAGGTGGTGGTAACCAGTGGAGATGGATTCCTTCCCCATTTAAGAGGCTGAAGGTCTGGATGTAGCCTCGGTCCTGAAAGATTCTGCCTTCTGCTCTGAGTGCAGTGCCTGGTCTCCTTTCAGCTTTTGATCGGCCCTCCCATGGCCTGGCATCTTTCTCCTCACTCTCTGCTTGCTTCTTTGCGTGTTCAGTCTGCTATTTTCTATCTGAAAATGTGGCTGTTATTGTGTGTTGTCGATTGTGAACCAACTCATAATGGACCCTCCAGTGGGTTTTCGGAGGCAGTAAATCACGCTAGAGGAGACTGCCTGTCCTAAACAGACTGAGATAGAAATACCGTACGTGAACACTCTGTAATTACCGTCTCAGAGAAACCCCGTTACCAAATGGGATGATATCCACTGCGGTGTTGTTAGATGCTGTCAGATTGACTTCACCTCACACCCACCGAGTCAGAGCCTCGCCCGGTCGATCCCACACCGTCCTTACAGCCTCTTCTGTGCCTAAGCCCCCTGTTCAAGTCCCTGTGTCCGTCCATCTCATAGGGCTCTTCTTCCCCTCCAGTGACCCTCTGCTTCTTCAGACTTGAGGCCCCTTTGTAAGGACTGGTCCCTTCTGGCGGGATAACGGAGGAGAGCGAGACAGAGCTTACCGCTCACGCCGCTAAGAGTCCGCTGTCCAGTTAGTCTCCTGGCATAGCCCATGTTCACTGCGTGCCAACAAATGACGTGTGTGACGTTTTCATCACATGCCATAGGGGGACTTGGTTCAAACCGTAATAGACGCAGAAACCACCCAGCCAGGCAGCTTGGGAAATTCGCCATTGAGAATAGGACTAGAAGGTGCTTTGTGGGATACTAGTCAAGATCAGAGGAAGACTCACCAACATCCTGAGTTGCACTGATGACATGGCCTTGCTTGCTGAAAGAGAGGAGGACTTGAAATACTCGCTGCAAAGGATCAAAGACTAGCCTTCACTCTGGGTCACATCTTAGCATCAAGAAAACAAAAATCCTCACCACGGGCCCGATAGGCAACATCCCGATAGAGGGAGGGTGATACAAATTGTCTGTGACTTTGTCTTGCTTGAATCCACAGTCGGCGCCCCTGGCGCCAGCAGCCAGGAAATTGCTGTCCATCTGAAAGTTGGGCGATGAGTAAGGACGGCAGGACTGATGCCTTTGGGTGATGGTGGCGAGGGGAGGGCTGAAGGACACGGAAAGGACGGGATACCGTGGAAGTTTGTCCAGGTTGCTCCGTGACGGCAAGGACAGTTGGAACTTGATCTCACATATTCTGAGCATGTTGTTGGGGCGAGGGGGGCAGCCCCTAGAAAAGGCCATCATGCTTGGACAGGTGAAGGGTTAGCAAAGGAGAGGAAAGCCCTTGGCAGGATGGGTTACCTCTTAACAGCTTGACATGATGTCTGTCATACGTCTCAGCGGGCTTGGGTCTGAGATGATGAAGGTGGCACACGCAGGATAGGGCAGGGTTCTGATCACGAGTGCTGGCTGGCTTCACGGCACTTAACAGCCACAGCTCCCGCCCTGAGGAGAGGCCAGTGCCTGGGAGCTGTGGTCAGATGTCTCCCCTTCACCATGAAAAGGAGCTTCTGTAGATTCTGTTCTTCAGAGTGGAGACAGTTCTTGATCAGCCCAAACCGCTGGGACCCAGAACAATCTCTCCAACCAGTGCTGCTGCCTCATCGGTCAGTGTTTCTGATCTGAAACTTAGGATTGTTTTCAACGGTGTAAGTGACTCCGAACAGTCCATGTTCCGGGGCTCAGTGCCGCAGTGCCCCGTCTGTGTCGGCTCACCGGGCCTCTGTGTCCTGCGCGTGCAGCTCTTTGAGGAGTCGGCCCGTCCACTGTGAGGCCTAAGGGGGCTCTGGCGATGGAGCCTGTAGACAGATGTGCCACAAACCCAGAGGCGGTGCTGTCTGGGGGTTCGAATCCACCCATAGCTTCTCCACAGGAAGGAGAAAAGTCCCCCTCCTCGGCTGTTTGAAACCCATTGGACGATCAGCTCTGTGTTGCTTCCAGCTCGAGGCCTCTGAGAGACTCAGTGACACAGCGGGTAGAGCACTTACCCGAGAATCAAAATGTTGGCAGTTCTAGTCCCTCTGCCAGTCCTTGGGGAAAAGATGAGACGGTCTGCTTCTGTGAAGGTGACAGCGTTGGAACCTGCATGGGGCAGTTCTCTGCCCTACAGGAGTCCTAGGACGTGGGACTGACTTGACGGCAGTGACTGGGACGCCTGGGGAGGGGCTGGGCAACCCTGATCTCCCTCCAGTGTGTGTATAGCACAGAGTCTTTCAAGAGGGTCTTTTTAGAGTTTTGATCCCAGAGAACTCGAAAAGCATTTCTCATTCTGTCCTGATTATAAATGAACTGCAGTCATTGCGTTCAAAACATTTTGGTTAGAGGAGAAAAGTTCTGTTAAGGAAAGAAGATAGCCTATCTCTCATGACATCACTGTGTGAGCGTGTCTGTGTCACTAATATAAATGATAACACATCTATTGATTTATGTCCAGTTCACAGTGTTACGGTTTATAATGGAAGTGTCAAATCAGTTTTCAAATCCAGATAAAATGATTCTAATTCAATGTATGTAGTTTCATATTCAGTATATAGGAAGCAGGAGTGGCATCCACTTCCTAAAAACTTGCCTCCAGAAACTCTATGAACTTTGATAAATGTCGATAGTTGCCGAGGGGCTTCAGGTCTTCTGTTCAGAGCGTCGCTATGAGTCGTGCTCCATTCGACGATGGTCAACAACAACATATCTGAAATAGACTTTCCAGTTCAAAGTCTGTTCCTTAGCCAGGAGGTGCTTATGTAAATATGAAGATACTGAATTCCTTGAAGGTGACAGCTATTTACAGTCCCTAGTGGTCAAACCCAGGAATAGATGGTATACCAATTGACATATTTCAGCAAACTGATGCTGGCCTGGACGTGCTCACCAAGTTGTGCCAAGAAATCTGGAGAACAACTACTTGGCCAACTGGCTGGAAGAGATCTATATTTGTTCCCATCCCGAAGAAGGGTGACCCAATAGA